CCTGGCTGCTTTTCCAGAGCTGACTATGAACTAGAAAGCCCTCCAGGGGCACCACTCTATGGATGACACTGTCCCAGCCTCCTCCACAGTTGATCTGCGTGTTTACATAGAACTCCATTAAAGGTATAACCATTATTGAGGGGTTTTGTGGAGGGGAGCTATTATTGCAGAACATCCCTTAGAAGGTTGAACTTGAAGGCTCTGAACTTGCTCATTCATCATTGCACTTAAGATGTATAAAGATCCTGATGATTATGAGCAGCGACCACAGAGTGGAGGAGGTAGAGTTGAGGATTTTGTGGTTCCCAAGCTTCCTTCCTAGCCCTCTCAGCCCAGTCCTCATTCCCTACATGCCTAATTCCTCCCTCAGTGCTCCAATGGAGCCACCCCACCTCCCTCAGGCCCCTATCTCCAAAGGTCTTCTGTCTCTTCTTTGGATGGCTGACCTAATGTCGGTGCCATGTACCCGATGGAGGCTGGGAAATAACCTTAGGCACTCTTTGGTGCTGTCCTTGTACAGATGAGCTAAAAATAAACCAGTTCACAAAAATAGTAAGGTGTTGAAATAACCAAATCAATTTTTATAACATACCCAGCCAGCATGACCATTGGTACAACTTCTCATGATCTAGAATCCAGACAAAATGCCCAAATGCTGGGTCCCAGCCCATCCGCCGTTCCCCCCGAACTGTACCAAACAGTGTTGACTGCATTCATTATCACAACTCATAGCCTACAAAGGAAGACTTGGTCACACCTTCGGCAGAAAGTTTCAGTGAATGGTGCCCCAGATGTCCTCCTGGCTCGCTTCCTTGCCCTTTTCTGCTCCTTGTTCAAGTCTTGTTTGTTTAGTTAGTGTTTTATTACATTATTTGTTTACTGGGGAGGGTGCCCATGCATGCCGTAGCATGGGGGAGGTCAGAGGACACCTTGTAGGTTCTTGGGTTCTGGGGATCAAACTTAGGTGGTCAGTGTTGGTAGTAAGTGACTTTACATGTTGAGCCATCTTACAGTCTTGTTAGTTTTTGTGAGCCAGACTCTCATGTAGTTCAGGCTAGCCTCAAACTATTTATGTACCTCATGCTGGTCTTGAACTCCTGAGCTTCCTGCCTCCACCTCCCCACTGCGGTGACTGCAGGTGTTCCCTCCATGACCTGCTTTTTGTTGTTGTTCTTTCTTTGTTTTGAGACAGAGTCTCACTCTGTAATCCAGGTTGGCTTCAAATTTACCAACTCTCCTGCCTTAGCCTCTCTTCCAAGTGCTGAGATTACAGGTATAAATCATCATGCCCCAACTTCAAGTGTTTCTTTTTTATATTTTATTTACTTATTTATTTTTATGTGTATGCATGTATTGCCTGCATGTAGGTAAGTACACCCGTGTCGTGCAATGCCCTTGGAGGACAGAGGAGGCTGTTAGATCCCCTGGAACTGGAGTTGTGGACAGTTGTTAGCTGCCGTGTGGGTGCTGGTATTCGAACCTGGGTCTTCTTCAAGAACAGCCAGTGTTCTTAACTGCGGAGCCATCTCTCCAGCCCCCAAGTGTTTCTTTTTTAAAAGATTTGTTTTTATTTCTATATGTGTCTCTGTACATCTGTGTGCGTGTGCGTGTGTGTGCGTGTGTGTGTGTGTGTGTGTGTGTGTGTGTGTGTGTGTGTGGTATGTGGTATGCGTATGGCTGGGGAGGCCAGAAGAGGACATCGGATCCCCTGGAGCTAGAGTTAAAAGTTTTTGTTAGCTTCCTGACATAGAGATGCTGGGAACCCCACTTCTCCAGCTCCAAGTGTCTCTTTCCTGAAGTCTTTCTCATTGGAAGGAAAATAGCATTCTGGGATGGAGATATGGCTCAGTGATAGAGTATTGGACTAACATATGCAAGTCCCTAGGTTTGATCCCCAATTCTGTCTTTTCTATTACTGTACTGTTGCATCATTCTTGTGCCCTCCACCCTAGTGCTGAGATGGAACCCAGGGCCTTGCACATGCCAGGCTAGCACCCTACCACCTAAACTATGTCCCCATCCCGCCCCCTTTTTTTGAGACAGGGTCTCGCTATGTAGCCCTGGCTGGCCTAGAATCCTCCACATAGACCAGGCTGGCCTCAAATTCACAGAAATCTGCTTGTCTCTGCCTCACCAGTGCTGGGATTACAGGTATGTATCACTATGCTCAGCTTGTTCTTCATTGAAAATAAGTGCTCCTAAGGCTAGACATGGTGGCCCATGCCTTTAATCCCAGCACTTGGGAGACAGTGGCAGGAGAAGCTCTGTGAGTTTGAGGCCAGCCTGGTCTACATAGTGAGCTACAGGTCACCTGGGGCTACAGGGAGACCCTGTCTCAAAAAAAAGACAACAACAACAAAAAAAGGCGAAATAGGTGCTCTGTGAATATGTATGCATGATCTCCTTCAGCTTAAATTACTTTCTTCATCCATCTATTAAGTGCCTGCTGGAGCCTACGGGATTCACAGCGAATCCGACAGGAACAGAAGACAGGCATATTATCTCTGTGCTCACAAGGCTGAACATGTGGTGGGAAGAAGGACCACACACATTTGTAAACAGATTAATACAAATACTTATCTATTATTTATTCATTTTGTTTGTGTTTGAAATAGGATCTTGCTATGTTGCCCAGGCTGGCTTCAACTTCACAAAGTTCTCTCTCAGCCTCCTGAGAGCTGGGATTACAGGCCCAGCTAGAAATCATTGAGAAAAGGACACCGAAAGAAAGAAGTAGAGTGTGGAGACAGACTGCAGCAGCAGAGACTTACCAAGTTAGACAGAGTGACTAACAGAGGGCCTTTGGAGGAGGATATTTAGGAAGAAACTTTTGAGCCAGCAAGATGGTTCGGGTAAAGGTCTTTGCCACCAAGCCTAACAACCTAAAGTCTAAGACTACAAGGTACAAGAGAACGGACTCCTGCAAGTTGTTCTCAGACCTCCACATGGACACTGTGACACCCCTCCCCAAATAAATAAATAGTAACTTTTTTTTTTTAATTTTTGTATTTTTGAGACAGGGTCTCCCTGTAGCCCCACCTGTCCTGGAACTCGCTATGTAGACCAGGCTGGCCTTGAGCTCACAGAGATCTGCCTGCCTCTATCTCCCAAGTGCTGGGATTAAAGGCGTGTGCCACCACCCTCCGCTTAATGTAAATTTTTTTTTACTTTTTAAAAAAAAATTATTTATTATTTTTATTTTATGTGTATGTGTGTATTGCCTGCATGTAGGTAAGTGCACCCATGTTGTGCAATGCCTGCGGAGGTCAGAAGAGGATGTCGGATCCCCTGGGACTGGAGTTATAGACAGATGTTAGCTGCCATGTGGGTGCTGGGATTCGAACCCGGGTCTTCCTCAAGAACAACCAATGTTCTTAGCCACTGAGCTATCTCCCCAGCCCCAATGTAAAAATTTTTAAAGAAGAAACTGTCACTTAGGAAGCCATGGAAGGAGGATTTCCGAGAGTTTGAGGCTGACCTGGGTTCTACAGAGAAACTCTATCTCAAAACAGTCTTCTGGCCTCTGTGGGCATCAGGCACACACATGGTACATATACATGCACATAAAACACTCATACACATTAAAAATAAATATTTTTTGTTTTGTTTTTGATTTTTTGAGACAGGGTCTCACTATGTTGTCCTGACTAGTCTGGAAATCACTATGTAGGCCAAGCTGGCCTCAAACCCAAGAGATCACCTGCCTCTGCTTCCTGAGTGCTAGGCCCTATGCCTGGCCCAATAAATGTATATAGTTTTTATATTTTAAAAAATTTTGGGGCTGGAGAGATGGCTCAGTGGTTAAGAGCATTGACTGCTTTTGCAGAGGACTTGGGTTCGATTCCCACATGGCGGCTATGAACCGTCCTTAACTCCAGTTCCAGGGGAATCCGAAGCCCTCTTCTGACCTCTGCAGCATTGCACGACACAGGTGCACTCACATACATGCAGGCAATACATGCATACACATAAAATAAAAATAAATAAAATATTTTTAAAAAATTTTATGGGCTGAAGAGTGGTTAAGAACACTGTTCTTGCAGAAGACCCGGGTTCGAATCCCAGCACCCACATGGCAGCTAATAACTGTCCAGTCCTCTTTTTTTTAAGGTGAAAGTTGAAAAAGCATTCACTTGATGCCTTCATTGGAAGAAAGCTCCATGTATACCATCTGGGATGAAGGAATGTGATACTCAGCACTGAGGTCCTGAAGGGATGAGCAAGGAAAACCTCTTCCGTCCAAAGCCTGAGCACCCCCCCCCTCTCAACTACTTATTAACTTGGAAAGGTCACAGAAAGTCTGACTCTCTTGTTAACAGGTATGTATGTCTGGAAACACCTTCTTCCCAGGCCTGGCTTTTGTCACATACTGAAAGCGTTCTGTGTAAAAGGCACAGTGGTGGTGTTTTGAATTGACTGCCCAAGTACCTTTAACTACCTAATTGCATCTGAACTGCACCTGGCCAGGGTGGCATATAGTCGGAGGCTGACCTTGAATGCAAGATCCACCTGCCTAAGCCTCTGAATGCTGGGACTGCAGATGTGTACTATCAGGCCCAGCCACCCATCAGTCTTGAAAACTGTCTGAGGAAGTGTCCCTTAGCCCATGGCTCCCTTCCCCAAGTAGTAAGAGAGAAGGGGGAAAACTATTCTCCATAAAGTGGTCTCCACCTGCTCTCACTGACAGAACCCGTGCCAAGATCCAAAAAGGTGACTTGACCTATTTGTCCCAGTGATGCCTACCAGGAGGCCCAAGACAAAAATGAGCTTCACCTTTGTCTCCTGCTGCCCCAGGACACCCTGTAACCAAAGCCACAGGCCACCGGCCAGGAGAGCAGGCAGGAAGTAGGAAGAGGGACTTGGAGGTGCAGAGAGGAGCCGGGGGAGACTGAGAAGCGAGGTGAGAGCGAGGGGGCAAGGGCAGAGGCGAGCCACGCACCAGCCCAGCGGAGGGGCGTCGCCCTAGGGGATGGGGGGGGCGGGGCGGGGCGGGGCAGCGGGCGGCGCTGTCAGTGCTTAGAGGCAGCGGAATGCAGCGGCCCGAGGCCTGGCCACGTCCGCACCCGGGGGAGGGGACCGCGGCAGCCCAGATAGGGGGCCCGGCGCCGCCCACCCGAGCCGGGGAGCCCTCGGGGCTGCGGGTACGGAGCTGGGGACGCGGGGTTCCGGGCGGCGGGGTGGGGGTTCAGCCAACTCCCAAGTGGCGCCTGCGGCGGGAACTTGGTGCCACCGCTGCCCAGCCCGAGCGAGGGAGTCCCGGCCCGGGGAGGGGAAGAAAAGTTCGTCCCCTGGTGGACGAGCGAGGAGTCCTGTCCCGAGTGGAGGGTCGGGAGACTGAAGTTCCGGGGGAACTCGACACAGTGATGGAGACGTCCTGGGTGGCGGGGAGCCGATGAGAGTCTTCAGGAGGGGGAGGAGTGGCGGTCGGATGGTGCTCCCTCGCTCATGGGTGATGGCGGTGCTTCTGGAGCTTGGGGTCAGCTGGACGGAGGAAGCTCGGAGCCTTGTCCTCCCCGGCCCAGGTTCTGTGATACACTCCGACTCGGGCTCTGGAGCAGTCAGTGCATAACAGAACTTGGCCCGGTAGGACTTTCTGCACCCAGCTGGCGCCCCCTCGGACCTGCAGTGGAACATCTGCCTGCGAGTGGAGTGTGCGCCATTATTGGTCCATGTGGCACAGAGTTGGACTGGAACCGTGGACCTAGGGATGACTGGCTCTACGGAGCCGGCTACACGGTGTCTACTTTGAGTCAGTGGCCAACCAAAGTTTTCATTCCCGGTGTCAGATTCAGGAACCTTCTCTCTACACCATCAAGGCTGTCTTCATCCTAGATAATGATGGGCAACGGCTGCTGGCCAAGGTAACCCCTCATTCCAAGAACCCTGAAGACAGTGTCACAGATCCGAGAATAGAGGTCCCTTCCGAACCCTGCTGACTCCTATCTCAGGAGAGACTGCGTTCTGGGCCTCAGAGTAGGCCAGTTTAGATACTGCAGAAGTCACTCTGTCCACCCTGGGCCTTGTCAAGCTGGCCCTGTGGGGAAGCTAGGGGCGGGTCTTCTTTCAACTCATGCTTCCTGGCATGTCTTCTCCAGATTGTTCTTCCACTGGTCAATTGGACCCTGGCATTGCCTGGGAAGGTTCCACCAAAGGATCAGTGGAGAGTTGAGCCTGGGACCCAGATGTCCCAGTCCCTAAACTCTAAACAAGCCACCTTCATTTTTGTATTATATCTTGGTAAACACAAAGGACTTAGCATAAGGATTTAGAACCAGGTAGGATTGGGGAGCCATATAATCCAACTCTTTAACTGCACAGATGCTGAAAATGAAGTGTAGAGAAGCTAAGTAAGTTGTCTGAGGTCATAATGTTAATGTCATAACTGAGACAGAAACTCAGGATTTTGATGTAAACTCCCATTCAGTTATCTGGTGGTCATCTAACTGAACATGGCTTGGCTAAGTTGAACTAAAACTAAAACCCAAATGAAGTTTCAGGGACAGTGGATAAGGAAGGGTTTTTGCCACCAAGCCTGACAACCTGAGTATGTCCCTAGAATCCACACGGTGAAAGGAGAGAACTGACTCCCTCAGGTTGTCCTTTGACCTTCACACACAAAATAAATAATAAACTTTTTTTTTTTTTTTAAAGACATTAGGGCTAGAGAGATGGCTCAACAGTTAAGAGCACTGGCTGCTCTTGCAGAAGACCCAGGTTCATTTCACAGCACCCACATGGTGGCTAACTCTGTAACTCCAGTTCCAGGGGACCTAATGCCCTCTTCTGGCCTCCATGGGCATTGCATACATATAGTGCACTTACATAAAAATTTATTTTTACACATAAAATAAAAATAAATTTAAAAGCTGGGCATGGTGGCACACACCTGTAGTCCCAGCACTTGGGAGGTAGAGGCAGGCGGATCTCTGTGAGTTCCAGACTAGCCTGGTCTACATAGTGAGTTCCAGGACAGCTGGGGCTATGGGGAGAGTCTGTCTCAAAAAGACAAAAAAAAAAAAAAAAAAATTTAAAAATAGAACTTTAGAAAAAACCCTAAATTTCTGCCAGTGACACAATTAAGTATAGCAGAGATATAACATCTTTTTATTTTGTCCTTTTTTTTTTTTTTGTAGATCAGACTGACCTCAAACTCATAGTGCTCTTCCTGCCTCTGCCTCCTGAGTGCTAAGATTACAGGCATGCACTAATAACACCAGGCCCTATTTTTTGTTTGTTTGCATTTTTTGAAACAGTGGCTCTCACCTAGAACTTACTATATAAACCCAGGCTAGCCTGGAGATCACAGTGATCCTCCTTCCTCAGCCTCCAAATTGCTGAGGCTGTATGTGTGAGCCACCATGCTCTGTTCTTAAATGTCTAGTAGCCTGGAACTCCTGATCCTCCTGCCTCTACTTCCCCAGTGCTGGAATTGCAGGCATGTGCCATCATATATTGCTGTAACATCTAAATTAGTTATGAAAGATGTTGTAAAATTTTCATTTGTATTTCTTGGTCTTCATAGCATTCAAATGAGCTAATTCACCATGGTACCAGCCAGCAGAGAGATTACAAACTTGACTGCAGATTGAATACTGAATGGCAAAATCCACATGTAGAAAATTGAGCTAATCACACCTTGCCTCAGCAGGCAGGCAGGGGTAGATCAGCACTGCCAAAGCCCCAGGGCCTTCTCCTAGAAGGTCCTACATTACACATTAAGAAACAAGGCAGGGCATGGAGGTGCACACCTTTAATCCTAGCACTCAGGAGGTAGAGGCAGTGGGGTCTCTGTGAGAACTAGGCTAGCCTAGTTAAAAGTGGGAGTTCCAGAGCAGCTAGAACTACAGGGAGATGGAGATGGAGATGGAGATGGAGATGGAGATGGAGAGGAGGGGGAAGGGGGAGGAAGAGGAGGAGGAGGAGGAGGAGGAGGAGGGTTTAGTGGTAAAAAAAACTTGCCTCAAGTACACAAGGTCCTGATTCAATCCCTAGCATTTCAAGAAAGGAAAGACGAAAAGAGGGAAGGAAGGAACTAAGAAGCTGAGTTGGAGAAGAAAAGAAGGAACTCAGGGTACAGCTCAGTGGTAGAGCACTTTTCTAGCCCATGTGAGGTCCTGGGTTCCAGTCCTAGCACTGCTGGGACGGAGGGAAGGAGGGAGGGAGAACCAGCAGGGAACAGCACAGGCAGCCCCTATATTTCTTTCCTTTGATTTTCTATGCTTAGAATTTGTTTATGGGGACTGGGGGCAGACTGGGGGCCTGGAGGGAGGTAAAGATGGGATAAGGCACAGCAACGGGCTCCAGCTTGACCAGCCCCCACTATTCTCTGCTATCCCTTCAAGGGAGGAGCTAGGCTGTATGGAATGACTATCACTCTTCTCTTTCTCACAGTATTATGATGACACATTCCCCTCCATGAAGGAGCAGATGATCTTTGAGAAAAATGTCTTCAACAAGACCAGCCGCACAGAGAGTAAGCGTTTTCCTCTTTCTAAGACTCTCAGACGAACACCAGCATCAGGCATCTTCTCCATCTGGACACATCTGTCCTAGTTGGCCTTTCATACCCACAGGCCATTGCCTTCTCTTCTGAGGCTCTTTGTCTTCTGCTCCCCAGCTGTTCTCCACTCCCTTCATTCAGGAACCTTTACTATCCATGACTCTCACCCCCACCTCAACACAGTCAGCCTTCTTGGTTGAGGACACCAACTGTGCTGTGGTTCCCCTACCTAGATCTATCAGAGCATTGCACATGGGGGAGGGAAGGCGGGAGGTCAGCCTTGGACTGGGTTTGTCAACACCTCAACAGGAGGCCTTCCCTAGAAATAGAGCATGAAATGAGACCAAGGAACACAGATCAGCCTCCTGATAGTGCTGGTCTGACCAGGGAACGGAAGTAGGAAACAGAGGGAGAGGCACACAGCAAGGCCTGGGGAGAAGAGACTAGGCTGGCCCCAGGCTAAGGGGGTTGATCTGAGAGCCCACTGCTTCTAGGTGAGATCGCATTTTTCGGAGGCATGACCATCATCTACAAGAGCAGCATTGACCTCTTCCTGTACGTGGTGGGCTCTTCCTCTGAGAATGAGGTGAATATAGGAGGTTGGGTGGCAAGGAGGGACTGCCCTGTGGGATGGCTTGAAGTCTGGAATGGAGGCAGTTTCTAGAGGCACACCCTTGGTATCTTTCTAGGCTCTGGGGGTTGAGGGACAGCCATAATGGGTCTCTCTGTGATCATAAACAAAAAGATGATGCTTAGTTTCCTGGGAACCAGAAATAAAATATCATGCCTTCAAGCTGGGTATGGTGGCACATGCCTTTAGTCCCAGCACTCGGGAGGCAGAGGCAGGAGGATCACTGTGAGTTCAAGGCCGGCCTGGTCTATATAGTGAGTTCAGGTCAGCTGGGACTACAGGGAGACCCTGTCTCAAAAAAAGCCAAAAAAAAAAAATATGCCTTCTGCAGGTTCTTTCTTAACATACTTACAGGAGATACTGTCTCCTAGACTTAAAAAAGCCCTCCAGACAAGCCCTGTCTGACAAGGGAGAGCTTCCTACCTGGCCCACACAGGGAGCTCGAGTGAGGCCTCCTTTGGGCCTCTCTGCTTCAGATTTCTTTTCCTCCTTCCACACCTATCCTCCCTAGCTGATGCTCATGTCTGTTCTCACCTGCCTGTTTGACTCTCTGAGCCACATCTTAAGGTAAGACTCTCTGTACCCCACGGCCCCAGATCTTTCCCTTTCCTCTTGAAATCCCTGAAAGCCTAAAATTAGAAGCAAAGTGGCTTCCTCCAAAGCCTCTGACCTCCATGGTACCCTGGGCAGAGCCATGCACAGGGTATGATCAGGAATCACATCTCAAGACACTCAAGAGGGAAGGAAGGAAGAAGCAGGAGGGAACGCCACAGGTAGCCCCAATATTTCTTTCCTTTGATTTTCTTTGCTTGGAATTTGTTTATGGGGACTGGGGGCAGACAGGCCTGGAGAGAGGTAAAGAGGAGATAGGACACAGCAACAGGCTCCAGTTGCCTGAGATCTCAGTATGCATATCATAACAGACATCGAAAGACAGGGAAGACAGGGAGAGAGGACAGAGGGGGTCTTGTTATGTAGCCCACACTGGCCTCCAACTCATAATCCTCTTTCCTTAGTCTCCTGAGTGCTCAAATTACAGGGGTGCACCACCATGCCCTATTATATCCAGGGTTTTTAACTTGAAGCTCAGTGTTAGTTTTCCCTTTACCCCCAATCAGTTACTGATACCTACCCTGGGAACATGGCCTAGGCAAACCAACCTAGGAAGACCCTAGACCTGCCTTGTACCCAGGAGTCCTTGGTACCAACTCTGTTCCTACTGCCCTTTACACTCTCCTACCCAGGCCTTGTTGGAGAGGGAGGGTCTGCCTTACCTAGACAGGACATAGTTCCTGGTGGCCACAGAGAGACTCAGTTGCTTGTTTGCCTTCAGGAAGAACGTGGAGAAGCGCTGGTTGCTGGAGAACATGGACGGAGCTTTCTTGGTGTTGGACGAGATTGTAGATGGCGGGTGAGGAGGGTATTGAGAGCAGGGGAGATGTTGGGATACTCGGAGTGACAGGTGCCTTTGTGGGTTCAGTGCTGGGAACACCCTGGTGGCCTCTCTTGCCAACTCTCCTTCCCTTCTCTCACATATTTTAGTAGTCCCCTTACCCTCGCTCTCTTCCCTTATTCCCATCCACTCATGAGGATGGATTATGAACTAAATGCTGGTCAAAGTCCAGCCAAACAAAAGATTAGCCTGATTGATGTCCACCCACAGCAGACAGCTGAATAGGTAATGTTTGGGGAAATCCAGCTTGATCTCAGGGCTGATGAGGACTGTGGACACCTGTCCCTTTCTTTTTTAAAAAATATTTTATTATTTTTGGCTGGACGTGGTTGCAAATGCCTTTAATTCCAGCACTAGGGAGGCAGTATGTGTAGGAGTGTATTGCCTGCATGTGCGTAGGCACACCTGTGTTGTGCAGTGCCCCAGGAGGTCATAAGAGAGCATCAGATTCCCCTGGAACTGGAGTTATAGACAGTTGTTAGTTGCCGTGTGGATGCTGGGAATCGAAGCCTCTGCAAGAGCGGCCTGTGCTCAATTGCTGAGCCACCTCTCCAGCCCCCACCTGTTCCTTTCTGAAAGGAGTTTGGCCAGAGTCCTCCCTCCAACATCAGCTATATGCATGACCTTGACTCTCTTTGAGCTTTCCTTGCTCTGTCATTAAAATGGGGAAGATAAAGGAAACATCCACATAGGATCACAAGGGTCAAATAAGATATGTATAAAGCCCGTGGTTCTTATTGGCAAATATTGTTGTCTTTCTCTTTGGTAAATGTTACCTCTCATTAGTATGCTATTAGATTTCTAGAAAGGTAGGAGCCCTTTATGAGAAAAGTTGGTTAGTAGAATTGCTTGAAGGCAGGGACAATAATCAGGGAGGGAAAAAGTTCTGACTCTGGAACAAATGATAGTAGAAATTTCTTGAGATCTTTCCCTCCCTCATCCTCTTCCATCAGTCACCCAAGTATCAGGATTACAGATACCGCTTGGCTATTTTTGAAATATCTGTCTGCCTCTATAAATACCCCCATTTTATGGAGGAGGAAACCAACGCTCAGAAACTCTGGTAATTTACCTGAGGGCACATAGCAAGGCAGTTGGCAGAGTCAAGATCTAGAACCATGTGCATGAGAAGTCCCAAAGGCTGTGTTATTTCCACAGCCCTGCACCAACCAACCTGGAGCAGGGGGCTCTGGGAAATGGAGTACTGCCAGTACCTCTCCTCTCCCTCTCTCCTATTGACTGCCTGCTTGAACTGATGGCTGGGTTCTATACATGGGCCCAGAAAGGATGTGAACTTTACAGAGCTCTGAGTGAGTCCCTGCTCTTGGCACCTGATCATCTGATCCTAATCTTAGATCAGTTCAGGGTTTTGTTTTTTTTTTTAATTTTTTATTTATTCTCATCATGTGGAGGTCAGAGGACAACTTATGAAAATCATTACTCTCCTTCCATCATAGGGGTCCTAGGGATTGAAGTCAGGTCATCAGGCTTGGCAGCAAGCACTTTTACCCACTGGGCCATCTTATTTAAACTTTTTTGTACTTACTATATTTTTATTTTATGAGTATGAATGTTTTGCCTGCATATATATAAGTGCATCCGTGTCATGCAATGCCCACAGAGGGCACTGGATTCCCTGGAACTGGAGTTAAGGACAGTTGTTAGTCACCATGTGGGTGCTGGGAACTGAACCCAGGTTCTCTGTAATAGCAGCCATCCCTCCAGTGGACCACAGCATGAAGTACAGAAGAAGCAGAGCTGAGGGGAGGAACAGGTGTGACTACAGCACCATCTATGGGAAGGTTTCCTGAAGGGGTGATACTGCAGGATAGGATATACTCACAAAAGGGAAGTGGCTTGTGGCTTGGCTGGAAAAAGGCAGGAGAGAGAATCACATCATTCACACACACCCCCAATTTTCTCTTATCTTATAGTGTGATTCTGGAGTGTGACCCCCAGCAAGTGATCCAGAAAGTGAATTTTAGGGTAAGATTTCCTGAAACCCACTCCATCTTTGCAAAGCTGCCTTTCCTGTCCTCCCTTCCCTTGTCCTCCTTGGGCACCAGGTTGCCAAGGCTCCACTGATGGGAGCCCAGCCATGGAGACCTTCCACTTGCTAAGAGCAGTTATTGGTGACAGCTTGGGGGATGCCCATTGATAAAACAGACCTTCCTGTTCTCTCTCCTTAAGAAAACAGCTCCTCCTTGTCTTCCTGGTGGGGAGTATAGATGGGGAATAGTGTATCCTTAAAATTACTCCAGGTGGCAGCCTTGGGGGACTCTGGCTGTGGACAGAATCTTCTGCCCTGGCTTGGCTTTTTCATGTCTGGAGTCTGGATGACACATCTCCTCAACTTTATTCCCTTTTACCTTCTCTCCCTTCATGCAAATAGAAGGGTCCCAGTTTGTATGGGTATGTAGCTCAGTGGTAGAGCACTTACCTAGCATGTGGGAGTCCCTGGGTTCCATTCCCAACAATGAAAGGAAAGGGGCGGGGCAGGGGCTTCCAAATGACAGGCTGCCGGATTTATGCTCTGATGATAAAAGTGCAGTGCTGGATCATGCTCACTGCTGTACTCCTCACCCCCAAAGCCTCTGACCCAACACCCACTCTCTGTCTTGATCCCACTCTTTGATTCTGCTTCCCTGCAGACAGATGACAGCGGCCTAACAGAGCAGAGTGTTACCCAGGTAAGTCCCCTGTATCTGCCTTGGCCAGAAATAGCCCGAAGAATAGGGTAAGCCCAGTGTCCCAGGGGAGACCAAGAAGTCAGAGGTATGGGACAGAAAGGATAAGTTGTAGGCACTCAGAGAGAGTCACTAAAGGCTGCAAAGCTCTCCAGAGTGGAGGAACTGGGTGCTGATGGATGGATGGATAGATGGATGGATGGACAGATTTTCACCCGTTCCCCTCATCTCTTACCCTAAACTGCCTACCTGATGATGAGTGGATTCCTTGCCTCCCAAAGTAATATGGAAGCTCAGCCCCCTCATGCCCACACAAGGATACCACATAGGAGTTTGCCTCCAACATGCACCCTCAACCACTGAAAGTCTATGTTGGGATTGTTAAGGGTCTTATCACCCAAGGATAGGATCTAAGTTTCTGCATTCATCACTTCCGTGCTGAGTGGCTTGACTGTGTGGCTTGGCTCTGGAAAAGCGCACCTCACCACACTCCTGCATGATCTTTCTGGGGATCAGATAGTATATGGCAGAATATGGCAGGGATCCTGACTACTGTGGGCAGATCGGTTCCCCAGCCTCAGACTTTCTGCTAGTCAAGCCAATTGCTTTGAACTCAGCACAGTCCACCTGCAGGTCTCTACTCAGATTAACTCTGCTTCCATGGAGCTTCATGCTTTGGTACTGGCTAGTCCTAATGTGGTGGCCCTGCGAAGTGGGGGAGCCCCAGGTGTGGTGCCCATGTCCTGTATTACCCTCGCCACTCCACCTGCCCTCTGGATCCTCATGTCTCCTAATGATCTTCTGGAATGAATGTGGCTGAATGGTGAATTACAGGGTGGAAAGAGGTTGGAGGAATCAGGCATGGTGGCTCATGCCTATAAACTCAGCACTTGAGAGTCTGAGGCAGGAGAACCTTGAGTTCAAGGACAGCCTGAGCTACATAGTGAGTTCCAGCACAGCCAGAGCTATGAAACCTTACCTTAAAAGAAATAACAACAATAACAAAATCTGGGCATGGGGGCACACATCTGTAACTCCAGCACTTGGGAAGTGGAGGCAGCAGGATCAAGGGTTTAAGGTAATTCTTGGCTACATATCAAGTTTGAGAGCAGAGTGAGCTACATGAGACCCTGTCTTAAACAACAACACAACAACAACGACAACAAAAATAGGGCTGTTGAGGTGGCTCAGAGGTAAAGACACTCGCCCCAAGCCTAACAACCCAACTTTGATCTCTGGAACACATGGTGGAAGGAGAGAATTGACTCCTACAAATTGTCCTCTGACCTCAACATGTGTATGGTGGCATGCAAATGCCCACACATGTACACATACACTAAATAAGTACATGTAAAATAATGATAATTACATGAGCCAGTGCATGGAAAGGGCCTAGCAGGTAAAGAAACAATTATTACTGGTTTTCCAAAGGGACAAATAACAAAGACAGAATTTTTAGTGTTTTTGTTTTGTTTTGCTTGGAGCAGGGTCTTGCTATGTAGTCAAGATTGGCCTTGAACTCATCCTCCTGCCTCATAGTCCCAAGAGCTGAAATAATAGTTGCCATCCCTTGTTATTAATGGCAGTCTTGAATGAAAAGAAAGCTGAAGGTAGTAAAGATGATAGGAAATGAGGAGAAAGTTAGGTTCCATAGAGAGATGGGAGAACTTCACTGTCTCCAGGAAGGAGGGAGACTGAAGAAGAAAGGGACATGCAGTGTGAGATGGATTGTTTTTGGAAGGGAGTGAGACTTCATGCCTGAAGGGACAATCTGAAATCACCTGGGGTTCCAGATGTGTTGGCATCATGCAGGCACAGTGGTATGGATATGTGTGTACACTGGACTGAGGCAGTGTTCTCTACAGTAGGAGCACACACATCTGACAGCAGGTGTCCCAAGGCAACTCTTGCCACATCAGCAAATGCAGAGGGGTGCTGACAACACACTCCAGTCAAGGCAAGAGCTAGGAGGAGTTTATTAAGGTGCCAGGTATCTGAGCACAGGCAAGGGTACAGCCTGGGCTCAAACTCTGTCTGGACCTGGCACTGTGAGGAGGAACTTCTGTGGCATGCCCATGGCATGGCATGGGGGAGGCAGGGGCCATTGCCACACCCACATACCAGCAGGCTTAGGCCTGAGGTTGGAGTTGGCTGCAGTCAGCTGGGCCTGCCCTTTCCTTCCAAGATCTCTCCCCATTTAAACTAGGTAGAAGCAAGCTTCTGCCATCTAGTGACCAGGGATTGATGGGCACCCTCAGACCCTGTAGACCTCAGCTAGTAAAGGCATTTGACATACTCCCCATTCTTCCTCTCTGCCTCTTACCTCAGGTTCTTCAATCAGCCAAGGAACAAATTAAGTGGTCTTTACTGAAATAAAGAGCATGGGATCAAGGCTTCCTGTCCCCAGAGGACCATCTCTCCAATCCTGACAAAAGCCCAAAGACCTCAAGGGACAGGAGACCCTTCTGCCTTCCCAGGCCCCCTCCCCAACCCCGGGAGAATCGATCCTTGAGATCTTCTGCCAGGGATTCTAAGAAGCAAAAGCTTGCATCCCTGTTCAGTACTCTGGCCTGCCTTTTGAGGCAGTAGGAACTAGGAAAGCTGCCTTCCCTTAGATCAGACCTCTGGCATCCCAGCCCTGAGCCTTAATAAACCTGCTTCGCTTCCTGCCAAAGATCTCATCATTTCTTTCTTGGTTTTGGAAGAAAGAGGGAGTGTGTGTGTTTTCAGAGGGAGGCTCCTGCAGTGCATTTTCAGTACTTCCAGGTGGGTTATGCCTGGACTGGGGATAGGGGTGGGTCAAGGGAAAGGGAACTATTTCACACAGGGAGGGGGTGTGATACCCCAGGTCCCATATGTGGTTGGGCAGGCTGGGAATGATGGTGTAGCATGTTAAGAGTAATGGTGGCAATAATGGCACATACTCCAGGAAGAGGAGAGCAAAAGATGGTGCCACCCTTTAATCCCAGCACTTGGGAGCGGCAGATGGATCTCTGGGAGATCAAGGCCAGCCTGGTCTAAAACAGCGAGTTCTAGGCCAGCTGTGGCTACAGGGAGACCCTGTCTCAAACAACAGCAAAAATAGTACACCCTTCCCCCATTTTGTGTGTGTAACACACAGGGCGGCTCTGTTGGGGATTTTTTGAGTCACTTTTTCCATCCCTAGCCTCCAGAAAGGAAGGGAGTTCGGCTTCCTCTGACAAACTGAAGAACAATTTAGCTGTTTTTCTTGGCATGCGTGGGACCACGGAATTCCTATCTTGGCATGTACTCTGGGCGCTAGAGCCTTGTAAGCTTGCTGGCTCTGTCTGGATACTGGGGGCGAGGAGGCACTGGCCTGTGTCCACTATGCACGTGTCCAGAACATCGTTTCACCCAAGAGACTGTGAAGAATCGCAGGTCCAGAGAGGCGAGAGGAAGAAGGGAATTCTGGGGACAAACCAGAAGACGGTTAAACTTTCTGAACACTCCGACTTCCCTTCTCTTTCCTAGTCCGGGACTCTACACTTTCTCTGATGCGTACGCTTTCCGCGTCGCCAAGTCTGGAGCTCTTTTGAAGCATCCCTTCCAGCCTCGCAGGTGCAGTAGCCCGGTCTGCAGCCCCAGCCCCA